GCACCCCAGCATTATTGCTTTAAGAAAATCAGAATAAACGTTAACACATGCTGAGGACGGAGTGTGTTAAAGCAAAGTGGAGGTGTGGTCAAAATGAACTGCTGTGATTGGCTGAAAAGAGGGTGTCAAATAATTAATGTAAACTGTTCAAATAAGGAAATGCGAATGTGAGTGAGGCCATATTAGAAGGACCAATATAGTCCATATTAGAGTTTGGGAAAAACAGGAACAAGGCAGTAATGTAGAAAATTACCATGAACAGGTTTTTGCTAAGAAATAAGCCACAATGTGTACTCAAGGAAGTGTCCCTGCCCCGCTCTGTCCCCAGCCCCCCAAATCCATCCCGAGCTCTGCTGTCCAACCCCCAGGTTATCTCCACTCTATGTGTGTTTTACACGATCACACAGACATGTGTCTTCTTTTCCATTTTTGTACACATTTTGGCCCACTTAATGACACATCCCTTTCTATCTCACAGCTCAGAGTACAGTATTCCACTGTATGGACCCAACAATTTCTTCAGTTTCTCTCCATTGTATGGAGAGAAATATTTAGGTTACTGTCAATATTTTGCAGTTCCATTAAGGCAATCAGTAACCCTGTGCATTTGTGTCCTGTGCTGTTGAGATGTATCTTCAGGGGAAGGTCCTGGGAGAGGGATCGCTGTATCAGGACGCAGTCGCACATGGAGTGTTGGTAAATGTTCCCACATGTTCCTTCAAAAGGGTAGCAGCAGCCTTCTTTCCATGGGTCGTGCAGGACGGTGTTTTCCCCACTGCTTCACCAGCCCAATGTGTCATCTTGTTTTTTGCCCAATTAATTAGGAGAGAAATGGTAGCTCATTCTAATTTGCATTTCTCAGGTGCTGAGTGAGCGTCACATCCTTTTGTATCTTCAGGTGCTGCGTTCCCCCTTTTAATAACAGCTTTATTGAGATACGATCCACATACCACAAAATCCACCCTTTCAAAATACACAATTTGGGTGTGGGTTTTTGTTTGTTCTGGGTGTATTCACGGTTGTGCTGCCCCACCGGTAAGGATGTTTTCATCACCCTGTCAGCACGCACTCCTTACCCCTCTCTCCTCCAAGATCCCGGCCACACCGACGCACCTCTGTCTCTACAGAGTTACCTCTTCTGGACATTTAACATCAATGGGCTCATGCAATCTTTCGTGACCGGCCTCTTTCGCTCAGTGTAACATTTTAAGGTTTATCCATGCTGTAGCTGTCATAAGCACGCCACGCTTTTTTATTGTAGAATAATATCCCCTTGGACAGATATAACACATTTTATTTGTCCATTCATCATCTGATGAACATTTGGGTTGTTTTCCCATTTTACAACAGATATTATGAATAATGCTTGTGTGTTTTTGTGGACCTATCGTTTTAATTCTTCTGAACATATACCTAGGAGTGGAATTATTGAATCATATGGTAACTTCATGTTTACCATTTATAGAAAATGCCAAAGCTGAACTGTTTTCCAAACTGGCTGCACCGTTTTACATTCCCACAAGCAAGGATGAGGTTCCAGTTTCTCTGCATCTTTGCCAATGTGTGCTTTTGTCTTTCTGTTTTAGCCTCCTAGTGTTTTGATGTGAATTCCGCCAAGTAGCTTTTCATACGTTCACTGGATGTTTGTACATCATCTTCGGAGCAATGTCCACTCAAATCATTTGCCCATTTTTTAAAAAGTGGGACTTGACTTTTCATTGTTATTTGCAGCTGTTATTCATGTAACCTGGATACAAATCCCTTATCACATATGTACTTTGCAAATATGTTGTCTCATTCTGTAAATTTTTACTTTCTTTGGATGAAGAACAGATTTTTAAAATTTTGATGAAATTCTGTTTAAGGGGCACAAAAGCCAATCAGCCTTCTTTTATCTTATCTTTGTGTTATGTATGATATATTATATATATTGTACGTAAGTTCTGAATTTTCAGTTGGGTCAAATTGCAGACCTCTATCTTTTCCTCTTCCTCCTGTATTCCCAGGTTTCACGTCCTTCCTTCCTTCCATTCTTCCTTCCGTCCATCCTTCCTTCCTTCCTTCCCTCCTTTCTTGTTACTAGGTGTATTCTGGGGACACGATCTCCAGCCTGCTCACGTTTCTAAGACTCTTCCTCTCGGAGATCAGCATGTTCAGGGTTAGGGGCTTCCCCATTGGCAATAGTTATTTCTCTGGGCTTCAGTAAAATGCATTTAAATAGGCTTGAAGTAGCCTGTTTGCTGTGCCCCAGAAGTGCCATGGCTGTTTCCCCTGCAGCCTGAGGCTCCCCACCCTCTTTGGTGGCCGAGGCAGGAGAGGCAGCAGAAACGTCAGTGGGTCCCAGTGGGCATTGCTTTTAGTGTGGAAGTCAGCTTGGGCATGGGTGGCACCTGCTCTTCCTGAATGAGTAGTGCCTGACGAGCCCACGTGCTGCAGAGGCTGCCAGCCTTGCCCCTGGAAGCTCCAGAACTGGGCCCAACACCTGTGGAGACAAACAGCCAATGGTCACAGCATGAGAGTTGTTCCTGTGAGTCCGGTTTTAGTCACCACCCATCTTATATTCTTCTCCAAGAGAGGAGATTCAACCTGAGGCCCACGGACATGGCCCAAGGCCCAAGGAGACTCCAACCCCGTACTCCTGCCCATACATGCAGTTACTGAGATTTGTGACACAGGCACAGCTACATCTATAGCAGAGGCTCAGTGAGACTCAGCAAATGCAGCACAAACTGGAGCAGGAGCAAAGCTGGAAGAGCTTCGTTTTTATATACATAGAAATGATCATGTTTTCTGTGCTGCATTTCATTCCTACAGTATATTATGCTGATTGAGTTTGGGTGTTAAACCAACCTTACATTCTAGGACTAAATCCCACTTAGACATTGCATTTAATTGTTTTTTTATATAACTTACTAAATTGCAATAAAAATTTTAATATTTTTAATTGTAAGAAATTGTCAGAGAGATGAACAGACACTTCATCAAAGAAGAAATACAAATAACCAGTAAATGTGAAAAAACTGTGCAATAACATAACTTATCCCAGATATCAGATCAAAACAATGATAAACCATTATACATATTTGTAAAGTCACTGGAGAATACATAAATCAGTGTTGGCCACGGGCTGTTGATAAAGGCGGTCTTAAGCATACTGCCGAAAGTTTCAGTATTTATTACAAACGCTAAAATAGTCTCACTTTTCATTAATAAATTATATAATTATAAAATATTGAATAATGACAATGACTGAGTAATAAAAGATAAACACAAAGATTTATCTATAACAGTGTTCTGAAATATTGTGTTTATTTGCAAAACATTGTTGGAAACAATAAGAGTTAGTTAAATACATTATGTTTCATACAAGGTAACACCAGGTGGCCACTACAAATGGTATTGTAAAGGAGTATTTCATGACCTGGAATGTTATTCACAGTATATTGCTAATAAATCATTTATAAAACAGTATGTATAGTGTTATAGACTAGATGTGTTGCCCCAAAACTCGTATGTTGAAGCCGCAAATCCCACAGTAACTGTATTTGGAGACGGGGCCTGTGAGCAGGTGATAGAGGTTAAATGAGGTCATAAAGGCAGGAAGAGACCCCAGAGTTCTCTCTTTTCTGTGTGAGGACAGAAGACAGCTGTCTGCACGCCAGCTCTGACCAGGGACCAAATTGGCCAGCACCTTGATCTTGGACGTCCACCTCCAGAACCATGAGAAATAAATGTCACCCAGTCTGTGGTGTTTTGTTACGGCAGCCCAAGCTGACTAATCCTACAGTATCTTCCATTTTCCATTTTTCTAAAATAAAATCTGTGTGTGTGTGTGTGTGTGTGCGTGCACGCGTGCGTGTGTATAGAAGAAGGAAACAAAGTATTACCTGTAATTTTCTCATAATTGTGGGATTACTGCTAAATTTTGTTCCATTTTCTCTCTTTATTTCAAACTGGGTATACAAATTTTTTGTTTGTTTGTTTTTTGTTTTTTGCGGTACGCGGGCCTCTCACTGCTGTGGCCTCTCCTGCCGCGGAGCACAGGCTCCAGACTCGCAGGCTCAGCAGCCATGGCCCACGGGCCCAGCCGCTCCGCGGGATGCGGGATCCTCCCAGACCGGGACACGAACCCGTGTCCCCTGCATCGGCAGGCGGACTCTCAACCACTGCGCCACCAGGGAAGCCCCCGAGTATACAAATTTTTTAATGAAAACACAAGAACTTTTAAATCAGAAGCAGTGAATAAAAAAAAAATCAAAAGTTGCCGAAGTCACGAGTTCTGACCAAAAGAATCAAATAATTCTGCCTTAACAGTGCTCCTAGTTGGCACTACATATCAGCCTCTGGGCCTCTGCAACCTACCACCAAAAGTGAGCATCACGTTTATGTATTGGTGCCAGAATAAATGTCAGAACATTAAAATTTTAAAATATTTATTATGTTTAAAAGATATACACATATATAAACATAATTATTGATAGAGAAGGATTTTGAGGAAGTGTTTTGTGAAGAACAACAAAGAAATAAGCAAAACACGATTAGCATCAAATTCTTAAAATATCTGATAAACAACTTTCACGAAAACTTCATCTGGTAAATTTAGAATGCCGATAACTGAAAGAAAACATAAGAATACTGGGTTACAACCAAGAAAAATCCATTGCTGTAAAATTACATTCTTTGATTTAATATAACTACAGATATCTATTTACACATATACGTGTATTTAAAACATACACATACGTTTATATTCAACGTTAATACACAGCGTTAACTCTGCCTTCAGAAACAGCTGGACCTGTGCCTGCCGGCAGCCCCAGGCCACCCTCCGGGGCAGCGCAGCCCAAACCCTGGGCTGAAGGGCTGGGGGCTCCTTCTCGATAGGGAGACACAGGCCATCAGCCAGGAGTGAGACGCCCATGGCTACGAAAAAGTCACGTGTGTCCTTCAGGCTGCGCCGATTTTCAATATACAGTCGTGTTTCAATTTAAATAGCATTCTGATGGGCTCTTCCATGTTTACAGCAGGAGGACGCAAATAATACCTGAGCTTTCACTTTTGTATTCTTAGCCAGATGGTCCATTCAGCAATCCCACAGCATTAAGAACAAATTTCAGCGCACTTCTGTAAAACAGAAGGTAGCCATAAAGCAAGCGATGTCTGCAGTCTGTCAGCTGTTTTATGAAGATTTCTGTGTCATTTTAGTCATAACATTTGTGCAAAAGTCACTTAAGCTGCACAAACCACATGCTTCTGATGAATAAAGTCACATTTGCCAAAATGCAAGGGAACTAATTAAAAATTCTTTACGTTGTGCTTTTCAAACCCTGAAAAGCCTACGCATCACCTGTGGATCTTTATGAAATGCTTCCCTTGTCCTGCGCTCCTGAGGGCCTCGTGGGCGTGGCTTATGCTCTTCTCTTCACTTGCTGTTACTGGGGCCACCTCACTGTCTCTGCTGAAGGGAGCCACCCAGTAGCTGCCGAGCTGAGGGCTGACTCCGTCTTCTCGCACCTGCTCTGGCCTCACGGGGGCCTGCAGCGGCGTTTTCTGTCATGGAGGCCGGGACGGCCCCACCTGGGTAACTGGTGCACCATGGGGAATTCCAGCCGCCTCCCACTCTGTTCTCGAATCTGGGACTGACTTGCTGCGTCCTGCTAACTCTGGGGCTGAGCCACAGGCTTCCAGTCCTAACCGCCCCGCCTCCTCCCGCCTTCCCTTCTAAATCCCCACAGCGTGCCCACCCCCTGTTCCAGAAGTCTCAGCAGGAAGCTCTGGGGACTGTTTAGTGATCTGTGTTCATATCAGCCCCAGCAGCCATCCTGTTTGCCTAGGACTTTCCCACTTCCATCCGGTCTCCTGAGTCAGCTGTTAAACGCACACACCTGTGCACTGACAAACACCCCCCCCCCAAACACACACGTGTGAGTGCACACACTGGGCAGTTATGGGGTCCCCACCAAGCACTTCACAGTGCACAGAGGAACAGGTGGCCCGTCTTACCCGTCTCTGGACGTCTGCTTACGGTCTCAGTTCCCTTCCGCTTCCTTGTGAGATGGCAGATGAGCTAATGGCCCGTTAGCAGTAGGAGTGAGGTACGTGCAAATACAAAATAAAATCAAACATATCAATTAGAAAGGTGTAGAATTATGAGAAGAAAATAGAAGATTCTTTTAAATGTTGAACACTGTAAATTTAAATATGTTTTCTCTATTTAGGAGTTTGTTACTACTCCAAAGAGTACAGGGAATAAGTTAATATTCAAATGTTACTTACTTAGAAAAAATAAGTTGCAAGTATGAAAAATTAACATGTTTTCTCGGATGCAACAAGGAGCAACCCAGAGTGCCGGCTACACCATGGATGTGGCCGATGGTGGGTCACAACCTCGGTTCGCCTGTGGTCAGTAGTGTCCTTTGTAGGTTTTCTTTCACCTTAACTATGTCTCAGTTCCCTCACCTGCAAAATAATAATAATAGTATCTACCTCATTGGAATCTTGAGAAGATTCAGTTAATTCATTTTCTTGTGCCTAAAGCAGAGACTGTGCTGAACACTTGCCAACTGTGGTCATCCGTCACTGTCTCTGCTCATCTTTGTCCCCACCCCTCAGGCACCTACCCCCACCGCTCCCCGAATCCCCCAACAATTTACTAAAAGCCCGCCTTTCTCTGTGACGGCCTGTCACCTCACCCGCAGAGTCTAATCAACCTGGTCCCCCCGGTGACTCGCTCCAAATCCTCTAACCACGTTCATGCCTTTGCCCACACAGAACCCCACCCCCTTTCCAGGGAGATCCACTTGGTCCAGGTAATGGTGACTTCTTCAAGCTGAGCCAGGGCTGCGTCTCCTCTGATTTGTCTACAGGTCCACTCCACCAGGGTCCCATGTCTGTGCTTTCTCCATGCCCCACCCGACCAGACTGATGCTTCTCCATAAGCTACACATCTGACCAAATCTACCCAACTTAGAAACAACGCAATTTCACTGAACCCTGGGTCTTTCTGCTGCTGTTTCTTAGAATATCCCAAAAGTGAAACAGCACAAACTTTTACTAACTACCCTTGAGGGTCCCATTATATTAAGGTATTAAAATTTCCAGAGGACCCTAACTCTTCTCTGGGGTACACAGAATAAATAGAAATTAAAATATCCAAAACAGCTGAACTCATCCCAACAGAGTGGACATTGGTGGTTACCATGTGCTGGAGGTGGGGAAACGAGGAGCTGTCAGTCAAAGGTACGAACTTCCATGTAAAATATGAATAAGTCCTGGGGATGTAGTGTACATGTACAGTACAGGGATTACAGTTAACAATGCTGTACTGTATACTTGAAAGTTATGAAGTACTCAATTAAGATCTTAAATGCTCTCACCACCACCACCACAGCAAAAAATTGTAATTATGTGAGATGATGAAAGTGTTAACTAACCTTATTTTGGTAATCGTTTCACAATGTAGATGTGTATCATATCATAATATTGTATACCTTAAACTATTACACAATGTCATATGTCAATTTTATCTTAACACAACTGGAACAAAAAGAATTTCCAATTTTAAATGCGTGGATGCACTTTTAGCATGTATGCATAGATATGTTGACCAATCAGATCTTCTGAATGACTCCTGAAATCTATGAACTTATGCTGTAATAAAAATAAGGTAGATTGCTAAATAGCTATAAGCGGGGTTGAAAAGATAAATGTCAATAGAATGGACAGTGGTCAGATAAGAAAGGTAGCATATGAAATTTTGCTGGGGGAAGGAGAAAGAGAAGGGGGTGCTTTGTGGGGAAAAAAAGGCATCTGAGATAGAAAATGAAAGCAAAGAGAAATCAGAGTCAGGAAAGAATAGATGAACTCAGAAAGGGCCAAGGAATCCAGTGTAGCTGACTGGGTAGAACGTATGTAACAGCGTAAAGAAGGAGATGCTTAAGAATCTCAGTAGGATTCGTTAAATGTCTCAGAAATGTTGATGGGACCCAGAGTCTAAGGATGCAGGGTCTGAGAACCTTGGGCTACAGAGTTTGGACTGTGTTCTGCCTTAAGACCCGAGAACACTGTGATTCGGAAGCAGTTTGGCTGTCAATCAATGTAGCTTTCCACTGGGGGATGAAACTGGAAACTACCTGTTTTCCATATTTCTCTCCTCTGGATACGGCACAGCTCCCTGAGTGTGTGGTGACCCCGTGCGTCTCCCTCTCAGCCTCGCAGGAGGTTGAATTGCAGGTTCTTTGTGGGGCATCCCAGGTCTCTTCAGAGTGCGCTTGACACTTACACCTGCAACACTTTTGTAGTCCTAACACCCAAAAGTCACTATCCTAACTTAGTGAAAATCTACCCAGCTGTTTCCATGTGTCTGTAGAGGTTAACAGATAGAGATTCCATTTTATTTACCTATGCATAGCAGATAGCAAAACTGATAAAGGAAAAATAAGAATAGACTGCATTTAAACTAGCGATGCGATGGAGGACAGCTCCAGACCTGGGCCAGAGAGAACCTTCCAGCCCTTGCCTGTAACAATGGGACACACGCTTGCTTATTCGTGCTCCAGCCTTTCATTCTGTGGCCTGTTTGTACGGGGGTCAACCGGTGGGCAATCTTGAGACATTTAGTCTAGGATCTTCCTTTCAGGGGAGTATTTGCTTGAAAATATCCTTCATTTATTTTGGTAGCTTCAATTCAGGCAATGCCAGTTTTTTGGAATAAAGTATTAATTTTAAAGTTGGTTTAAAAAGTACAGTGACCATCTTTATGAGGCAGTAATAAATTAGTAAGATCCAATTAGCAATTTAATAGGTTTTATTTACCTTAATTTTCCTAAACAGCAGTGGGTGGTGGGGAGCAGAAGGGGGCTACACTTCCTGGGAGAGGATAGGCGTCGGCAGCAGTGGGGGACAGAGGTCCCATGGGAACAGGACACACCCCAGGGTTATGGTCCGTGATTGAAACAGCACTAAAATTACTCAGAAGCCTTTCAATCTTGATCAAAACTGTCTTTCCCTAAGGTAAGAAAACAAACCCAATAATGTAAGATAATTTTGTATTAAAGAAATGCTTAATTTGAAGATTTTGCTCACCAGAGACGCCTTATCACAGATGATGCCAGGTCAGGGACCCTGCTGTCCTCACGGCATGCTCTCAGGGGTGGGAGGCGGGCAAGCGTGTTCTATTCCAGGCGAATCTTTCTCTGCCCGTAAGGTGGATCGTCCCTTCAAGTGCGCCCGGTGACCGTCATGGCTTTTCACAAAGAAACACAAAAGTCTCTGAAAACTGGAAGATTTTGCATCTATTCACAGCCACATGCCCACAGAACCCAAAATACCCACAGTGTCAACTTAAGAAGGCAGAGCAGAAGCAAAACAACTTTAAACAAAATTGTCTGACGCAGGAAGTCCCAGCTCGCGAGGCCTCTATTTAGAAGCTTCAGATTGAGCTTCTGAACTCCGGCTCCGGCTCTGAGGAAAAATGCAGGCAAAGTTAGACGTAGCAGCCGCTCCCAGCTATGCTCCATTCATGGGAAACCACACTTGGGCTGATTGTCTCTCTTAATAGCTATGAGATCACTGTGGAACTGGCTTGAAAAAAATAGCTAAGGGAAACTTAGAAAAACTGTGCTGTAGTTATGTTTTGCATTTTGGAGAAATTTTATATTATAACTAGAAATTTCACTATGCTCATTAACAAGCCAAATGCTAGAAATGCAAGCGTAGCTTTAACAGATGTTTAAATCCCAAAAGATGAATTACCACTTTATTTTCTATTCTCTTAACTTTTTGAAAGTTTTTTGGAATCTATTCATACTTCATATGTAAAGAAAAGAAAATTAGAGTTTTTAGAAACCAAGTTTGGAACAGGACAAGTGGGGTATTTAAAAACAGAGAAGAGAGTAGGTTTCAGGTGGACATATCACACAGATAAATGATAACTACGTGAGGAGATGTGTGACACGTTTATTAGCTTGACAGTCGTAATCATCTCACCACGTGCATCAAATCGTCATCTTGTACACCTTTAAAAACATGCAAATACCTTTTTAAAGGTTTTTAAAAACAATTTTTATTTAAAAACATGCAAATACCTTTTTAAAGGTTAACAAGAGAGAGAAGTCAGGGAAGAAGTGGGATTCATATCAGTCTACTTTAAATGATTCATTTATCTTAGTAGTCAGATTCATTTCCTAAATGAGAAAATTTTCATTCAAGAAACATATTAGCCATAGAGTAAACATAGAGTAAAATCATCTATTTCTTACAGGGAATTCAGTAAAACAATTTGTGAATGTTCTGTCCATTGATTATTAGTAGAGTATCATACTAATATAAAACTGATATAGTGTTGTTAGTATCAGGCAGGGTTCTCCAGAGAAACGGAATCAATCAGATATATATACAGACACCTATGTGTACATATGTGTGAGCACATATATGTAAACACGTGTGTAGGACTGGCAAGTGTGATATGGAGGCGGCAGGGTCCCCAGGTCTGCAGTCTGAAGGCCTGAGAGCCAGGAGAGGTGATGATGTTTGCTCCTGTCCAAGTGTGTGGCAAGAGAAGGCCCAGGTCCCCACTTGAAGAGCATTCGGGTCAGGCAGAGACGGACAGAGCAAGCCCTCTCCTGCCCCCTTTTGTTCATGCCTCCACGAGACTGGCCCATGCGCCTCTCACCGTGGAGGGCGATCTTCTTTACTCAGTCTACTGACTTAATCATTAACCTTACCCAGAAACACCCTCACAAAACACCCATGATAATGCTGACCAAGTATCCTGGTGCCCTGGTGCCCAGTCAAGTTGACACATAACAATTAACCATCATAATCAACATGTAGGTGAGTAACTGTGCCCCAAATCGGTAATAAGTATATACTTGCCTGAAGCTTCCCAGGACTGCCCCACTCCGCTCCGTCACCCAGGCCTCTGTCCACTGCCTGCCCCCATCCTCTGGCAGCACAAGCAGAAGGCAGCTCACAGCTCCAGAGGCACGGCCGGGTCAGACCCCGAGACCCTGCACGGGGAGCACACTTCCAGGAGGCAGAGACAAAGTGGGCTGCAAAGAGGAGCTGGGTCAGCCGCTGAGGACTCTCCCTGCCCCCCCCCCGGAGCTGGTCACCCTTTCTGGGCACAGCTTCCTCATCGTACATGGGGGACGGGAACAAGACGACTCCTAGATTCCGTAAAATTAGACTATTTTGGTTTATTGTCTTTCTCATTACAGCTGGAATTGGAATCTTTTGTTACCAACATGGAAGGTCCTTTCCTCTCAGAGGGGACTTGATTGACAAATCCGCTCTTCCTTATACTAGGTACTCAGAACCCTCAATCTCCAGATGTCAGAAAACGTGCCCTACCTACACTATTCCGACGGGGACGGAGGTCCTCGACGGCCATAGATGGGTTCCACTCATCTTCGCGTGTCCAGCACTTACACGGGTTCCCGGAACATAGTACATGCTTATTACATTTGTATTGAATTAATATGTACTCCTCTGTCATTGAAGCATTTTATATATTTGTGTTTTCTAAATAGATACCTAGTTTTTATTAAATGCAAACTAAATGTCACTGTTTTCTTAGAAGGTACATATTTTTGCCTTTCTTTGTGAGTGTCTCTAAGAGAGTCATGAAGAAGTATATTTGAAAGGGATAATCTGGCTTGTAGAGACATGGGAAGAATTGCACAGAAGAGAATGAATCCACATGGCCTTTACCCTTTTTATGATTATTAGACTCAAAAATCAGATTCCTGAGTTTAAAGATGCTTCTATATGTTTGGCAATATTAAGATTGACATATGTTTAGGGAAAAAACCCTAAAATTTAGTAAATATACATGAAAATGGTTAAGATCTTATACTCTAGTATCATTCTGCCTACTAATACCCATCATACCTCTGTGTGTGTCTGTGTCTGTGTTTGCATGTAGACATGCAAATGTGTGTGTTTGATGCAGGCTTAGGATCTTGGGGAAAAGTGAATTGTGTGATATCTTAGAGTGATCTTTCTGGAGGATAAAGGAAGAATGGAGAGGTCTGATTTTTATGATAGTATGAAAACCTTCATCTCTCTCAGATGAATTACATTTGCATGTCTCTGCTATAAGGGCACTAGCCAAGAGGGTCTGGTTGAACATTTGGAGATTATTAGACTTTAGAAACTAAATTATAAATCTGGCCTCATCACTTATTGAGATGACAGATGGGGCTCAGATACACACATCATTCTCCCTGCATTGTACTGCTACTACTCTTTTTCATTTTATAAACATCAAAAATGCTTTTAAGAGCATAAAGCCTGCATACACTCACAAAAGGCTCCAAGCCTCTTCATCTTCAACTTTGAGCCAAGCGCAAGTAAGGATAGATAATCTCTCTGTATTGGAATATGAGAGGAATCTGGATGGGGGTCTTTTGAGACTATAAGGTGAACCCTCAAAATGAAGGAAAGAAGAACTTGAAGCCCAATGACTCTTCCACATCATTCCCTCCATTCATGCAAACAACTCATAGGCATTTCAAGAACATGCCCAGAAGTACCACACCCTATAGCAAAAAAAAAATAGCATGGGGGCGTCTAGCCCAAAGAAAGATCATGGACTCACTCATCATAGTTGAGCTTTTCAGATTAAATTGGAAGAAAGGCAGCAGTAGTCTCTGACCTCAGACCCACCTTCCTTTATTGCCACAGCATCAGCTCTATTACAGAACTACATGGACTACAGGGTTATAGGACCACAGGACCACATGAATCATGGGGCCACATGGACTACAGGACCACATGGACCACAGGGTTACAAGACCACAGACCACGTAGAGCACAGGACCACATGGACCACAGGACCAGAGGATCACATGGACCATATGAACCACAGGACCACATGGATCACAGGGTTATAGGACAAAAGGACCACATGGACCACAGGACCATATAGACCATAGAACCAGAGGACCACATGGACCACAGGACCACATGGACCACAGGACCAGAGGATCACATGGACCACATGAACCACAGGACCACATGGATCACAGCGTTATAGGACAAAAGGACCACATGGACCACATGGACCACAGGACCACAGGACCACATGGGCCACAGGGTTATAAGACCACAGACCACATGGACCACAGGACCACATGGACCATAGAACCAGAGGATCATATGGACCACAGGACCACATGGATCACAGGGTTATAGGACAAAAGGACCACATGGACCACAGGACCATATGGATCATAGAACCACAGGACCACATGGACCACAGGACCACATGGACCACAGGACCAGAGGACCACATGAACCACAGGACCACATGGATCACAGCGTTATAGGACAAAAGGACCACATGGACCACAGGACCACATGGATCATAGAACCAGAGGACCACATGGACCACAGACCACATGGACCACAGGACCACATGGATCACATGGGCCACAGGGTTATAAGACCACAGACCACATAGAGCACAGGACCACATGGACCACAGGACCAGAGGATCACATGGACCATATGAACCACAGGACCACATGGATCACAGGGTTATAGGACAAAAGGACCACATGGACCACAGGACCATACGGATCATAGAACCACAGGACCACATGGACCACATGGGCCACAGGGTTATAAGACCACAGACCACATAGAGCACAGGACCACATGGACCACAGAACCAGAGGACCACATGGACCACAGACCACATGGACCACAGGACCACATGGACCATAGAACCAGAGGATCACATGGACCACAGGACCACATGGGCCACAGGGTTATAAGACCACAGACCACATGGACCACAGGACCACATGGACCACAGAACCAGAGGACCACATGGACCACAGGACCACAGCTCTTTGCCTTGTGACCAGGAATGAGGGAGTAAGATCCAGCTATTCTGATTTTTCTTTTTCTGTTCCTGCTGTTCTTTAATTTTTGAGAGTAACTTTCCAGTATCTTTCTAATAGCGAGTTTCCCGTGATGAAATGGACTGT